CAGCCACTGCACTCCAGTCTGGGCGGCAGAGTGAGACTCCAACTCAAAAAAAAAAGAATAACAAAATGTGAAGGAGAAAGAGAGATCTCAAGGGAAGAAGTAATTATTCTTTTTGCTCTGGGGTAGTATCCTTGACTTGCATTGGACCAGATGCAGAAACAGAGTTGTCTTAGAATATGGGAAGAACCAACCTTCCTCATTCTCTCAAGAGGACTTACTTGACATGCCTTTCATGTCCAGATAAATATATTTTTGTCAAAAGATATTTCTACCCAAACACATTTGCAATGTAGTGATTCACGCAGCAAATTATACTCCTTCATCAAAAAGACTCACTCTTCATTTATAGAGCCATTTTTAAATAGTTCATAATTTACCCTCTTAGATAAACACATTTTCTCTCAAACATAACTTCTCTTTCAGATACAAGTTACCTCTTTTTTTTTTTTTTTTATTGAATTCTCATCTATGATGATGTTTCCATTATTACTATGGAATGTTTTGTGAATTGATGCATGGAGACATTTTCTTCTTATTTATGTCAATTGCTTTAGGGGGTACAAATACTTTTGAGTTACATGGTTGTATCGTATAGTGGTGAAGACTAGGTATTAAGGGTACCCACCATTCCCACCTATCCAGCTTGTACCAGCAGATGATTTTTCAGTCCCACAGACCCTTTTCTCCTCTTCCTTCTAAGTCTTCAATGTCTATTCAAGACATTTTTAGTATAATTAAACCTCATGAAGTTTATACCTACATCAGCACAAAGTATTTTCAATTTTTTAAGGTCTTTCTGCTCTCCCAGTACAAATAGGAGATGCTTTTCGAATAGTGCAATTTGGAAGCATAGCTTCATAATTCCTTGCTAGTACACTTTGAGAGACACTTTGCCTCTGTGTTTTTTCACATGACACAGATTTTCTTGGCCAAATAACCTCCCTAACTCATAAAAGATTTAATCTTTATGTGATTTTGACTTGAAGTAATATATAACATTTTTCTACAAACCGTTAATTCCCGTGCACCTTGCAAAAACCCTTTACATGTCATATTTTCCTCTCACTTCCCTTTTTATTTTCCATTTGAATTTTTTTCTGATTTCTGTCTATATGTATTTTACTTATCTTCTTTCCATCTTTATCCTTTATAGTGCTATTCTACTGAGCATTCTGATTTTATAATTAGTTCCTCAACACTTTGTATCATCATTTTCTTCTAGATGAAACTCCAGCTTCTCAACATGAGAAGATGAAATTTAAAATGTGTCTGAAATTCCTAACTTTTTCTTCTTTATTGCTATTAAGCTTCAAAATTTTCAAAAATAAGCACCATTCGACCAAATTAGCAGCATGGCATTGCTACTTCAGAAAATGGCCTATAGTTCTATCAATCAGTAGTGGTTTCAGAGTCAAACTCTACTAACAGGCAGCTGTGTAACCTCAATCTCATGACTACCTCTCCATACTTCTGGCTCCTTATCTATTTAGGAGGAATAATATGGGAAAGACCACAGTGTCCTTAGGAAATACATTTACTTCTCTGGAGCTGTTTCTTTGTAAAATATAAAAAATAATACCCACCACACAGCACTTTTCTTTTTAGGAATTATCAGGTAATATAATGAATAGTGGAGCATGTCTGTCATATATTACCTTCTAAATTAATGTTAACGTCTTATTTTTCTGATTAGAATCAACTGAAAATATTATTGTATTGTACTTTGTGTTAAGAATTTCATGTGATACATAGTTCTTACCCTCTTGATACTTACAGATTTAAGAAAAACCTGGCATACACAAAGTAATTAAATTATATGGCCTTTCATGAGTCTTCAAGATCCCAGATTCTTGAGTCTATCAAGAAAAAAATACATCAAATAGAGAGACTAAGAGTTGAGAAATGAATTTTATGGTTCAATTGTATCTTATAGTTAAGTCTCAACTGAGCTTCCATTTGCCAGAAAATGAAAACCTTGTTTCTTTTTTTTTTTTTTCTCTTATGACACATAATTACTTCGTTTTCCTATCTCCAACCACAATGGGACAATGATTATGGGAACAAAGCAAGGGTACTTCAAGTGTTTTTCATTTCATGTAAATTCTGATTCCTGCCTTGCCAGCTAAAGTCCAGGAAGAGATTGACCATGTAGTTGGCAGAGACCGGAGCCCCCGTATGCAGGACAGGAGCCGCATGCCCTACACAGATGCCGTGATTCATGAGATCCAAAGATACACTGATCTTGTCCCCATCAGTGTACCCCATACCGTGACTCAGGACATTCAGTTCAGAGAATATCTTATTCCAAAGGTGAGACATGTTTTATTTATACTCTTCCTTCAGATTTTTAGGCAATCAATCATCACTGTAGTAGAACTGTAGATTATGTAAACCTCCACACTTGTGGCATAATTTTAACTCAAGCATCTCATTCTATGACTGCATAATTCTTGGCTTCCAGTTTGTTGATACAGTTGTCCAAATATGACAGCTTTTAAAGTCTCATATAATATTCAGTACATACATTCATAGCGTCACATCTCTGATTGTCCATTAACCCAATCTGCTTTTCATTTCCTTGCTTTCCAGTGTATATTTTATTAGTCTTAACCAACTAACCATATTTTATATCCCCACCTCCCTCCCATCTATTACACATACTTGTATAAATGCAATTTAAAAGCCTTTTCCTCCCTGCCTGCCTTTGGGTTACTGATCCTTGCTGGAAGAGACCACGTAACCCAGCTGGTTGACATTATGATCAAACCCACGTGTTGGTACACCTTTCACAAATGCCACATGTATTTTCAATTGTACCCAACAATCCCGCTTTATAACCTAACTCAACTTGCTTCACCATGCTACGTGATGAATTTAAACCTTCAACTCTCTTTCAGCTTCCCACTCTCCATTATCTTCTTTTTACCAGGTGACCTGTCCCTGCACCTGACAGAGAAAAATAGAGCCATTTGAAAGGAGTTTCCTTAATTATCCTCCAGAATACTTACACACTTAGCTACATCCCTATCCTTTGAATTCTCTTTCATGCCTGCCGTTGTGATAGAAGAGCTCTCCTTTGATGTAATATAAACCATTCTATCAGCTCATGGATTTCTTTTCTCTCATTTTTTCATGAATCCTCCTCTTCCAATAATAATTTCTTCTTTCTTCTTAATATTCATCCTCTTTCTCCCTCCTGGGTCCTTTTCATCAGCATTTCAACATGTTCAATTCTCTTTTTGAAATTTATGATTGACACAAAAATGATTATACATTTTTATGGAGTACAATATGATGTTTTGATACACGTATAAGATGTATAATCATTACATCAGAGTAGTTAGCATATCCATCACCTTAATCATTTAGTATTTCTTTGTGGTGTGAGCATTCAAAGTATATAATCAAAGAAATCAGTATGTCAAATATATAATACATTATCGTCAACTCTCATCCAACTACTACTATGCGATAAAACACCAAAAATTATTTCTTCTAACTGTAACTTTATGCCTGTTGACCAATCTCTCACCATCTCCTCCTCCACCTTCCTCCCCATTCCCTGGTAGACACTCTTCTAACCTATGTCTATGAAAACACATTTTAGATTTCACATATGAGTGAGATCACAAGGTATTTGTCTTTCTGTGCCTGGCTTTTCACCTACTGTGATGTCCTTCGTGTTCATCCATGTTGTTCGAAATGACAAGACTTCCTTTCTCTTTACGACTGAGCCGTATTCCATTGTGTATATACACCACATTTTTTCCATTCATCTGTTGATGAACATCTGGGTTGATTTCTTATCCTGGCTGTTCTGAAAAGTGCTGCAATAAACATAGAAGTATATATATATTTCTTTGAGAGGCTAATTTCTTTGATTATATACCCAGTAGTAGGCTTGCTGGATCATATGGTAGTTCTATTTTTTATTTTGCCTGAACTGATTTACGTTCCTATCAACAGTGTGTAAGGTTCTATTTCTCCACATATTGTTCAACACTTGTTATTCTTTGATTTTTTTTTTTTTATACTAATCATTCTGACTGGAGTGAGGTGATATCTCATTGTGGTTTTATTTGTATGATTAGTCGAATTGGCCTTATTTTCATGTCTGTGTTTGCTATTTCTGTCTTTTTTTGAGAAATATAAATATATTCAGCTCTTTTGCCAGTTTTTAAATTTTTGCTGTTGTGCTGAGCTATTTGAATTCCATATATTTTTAATATTAGCAACTTATCAGACATGTAGTTTGCAAATATATTCTCCCATTCTATAGTTCATCTTTTTGCTCTATTGATTATTTCTTTTCCTGTATGAAGCTGTTTAGTTTGATGTAGTCTCATGTGTTTTGTTCGCTTATGTTGCCTATGCTTTTGAGACTTTATTTCAAAAATTCTTGCCTAGACCAATGTCATGGATCTTTTTTCCTATGTTTTCTTAGAGTAGTTCTGTCATTTCAGGTATTACATTTAAATCTTTTATTCATCTTAAGTTAATTTTGTATGTGGTGAAAGATAAGAGTCTAATTCTTCTGCATGTGAATACCTAATGCTTTCAGCAACAGTTATTAAAGAAACTTTATTTTCCCCATTGTGTATACTTGGCACTTTCTGCCTATTTTGAAATTCTCTTGTTACTTTTTTTTCTGATTTCTTGAGTTGCAATGTTAGGTTGTTTATTTGAGATTTGTATTCTCTTTAACTGCTATAGCCTTTTCTTTCATTACTGTTTTTGCTGTCTTTCATAGAATTTGGTATGCTGTGTTTTTATTATCAATTATCTCAAGAAATTTTAACATTTTCGTCTTATTTTCATGGATTCATTGGTTGCTTAAGAGCATGCTGTTATAGTTCATGTATTTGCATAGTTTTCTAAGTTCTTTTTAATTTCTAGTTTTATTGCATTATGGTCAAAGCAAATACTTGAATTGATATCAATTTTTAAATATTTATTGAAACTTGTCTGGTTCTATACCACATGATCTATCCTGGTGAATGTTTCATGTGCTGTTAAATATAATATGTATTCTATTGGGTGGAATGTTTTGTGTATGTTTGCTAAGTTCATTTGGTCAAGGATACAATTTAACTTCACCATTTTGATTTTTTTTTTTTGGATCTAGATGATCTGTCCATTGATAAAAGTGGAATATTAAATTATCCTACTATTATTGTATTGAAATCTATCTTTCCCTTTAGGTCTATTAATATTTTCTTTCTATATTTAGGTGCTCTGACATTGGGTATGTATACAGACATACCCAAAAAATGTATACACATTTTAAGTATGATGTTCTCTCAAAAGATGGTGCAATCAAATTAATGCTAGTGTCACCTATACAAGCAGGACAGCCAAAAAAAATGGCAGAAATATGGTTGAGCAAACATCATACCACCACATGTTACTATCATAATTTAGTGATAGCAACTCTGAAAAGTAATATATAGGTAACATCTCCTAAAATGTGTATTTTTTTTGGCACCCATGTATCTTTACAATTGTTATATCCTCTTAATGAATTGACCCTTTATCACTATATAATCACTTTCTTTGTCTCTTTTTACAGGTTTTGTTTCAAATTCTATTTTATTTGATATCTATACAATCATTTCTATTTCCACAGAGGGTTGATTGCAGGACTTCTCATGGACTTAAAAATATACACATACTCAAATTCCACAATCAGCCCTATTGAACCCATGTATACAAAATGTCACCCCTCCATATCGATATGTTTTACTTCCCATGAACACTGAAATTTGATCCATTTTTGAGTGCAGATGTAGAACCTGTGGACACAGAGTGTTGACAGTATTTATCAAAAACATTTGAACTGGACTGGCACAATTCAAACTCTTGTTCTAGGAACAACTGCATAGCTAATCCTGCTCTTTTATGCTTCCTTTTTTCATGGAATATCTTTTCTTTCCCTTCACTTTCAGTATATGCATGTCCTTACAAGTAAAGTGAGTTTCTTGTAAGCAGCATATAGTTGCCTTTTTTCCTATGTCAGGGATTGTCTCTTTACTCTTTTGCTGGTTTCTTTTGCTCTGCAAAAACTTTCAGAATGATAAGTTCCCACCTGTCTATTTGAACTTTTGTTACACTTGTTTTTGAAGACTTTGTCATGAATTCATTGTCCACTTCAATATCCAGAGGGTGTTACCTATGTTTTTTTAAGACTATTTTAGTTTCAGATTTTATAATTAAATCCTTGATCCATTTTGAGTTGATTTTTGTATATAGTGATAGGAGGGGGCCAGTTTAATTCTTCTGCATGTGGTTAGCCAGTTGTCCCAGCACCATTTGCTAAATATGATTTCCTTTTCCCAATGTTTGTTATTGATGACTTTGTGAAAAAATGAGACAAGACGTGGTACATCTAGGGTAATATGACCGTAGACAGGCTTTGTCAAAGGTGAGTTGGTTGAGGGATCGAATTTTTATTTCTAGATTTTCTGTCCTGTTTCATTGGTCTGTGTGCCTATTACTGTACCAATCCCATATTGTCTTGATTACTAGAGCCTTCTAAGTCTGGAAGTGGGTTACCTCCAGCTTTGTTCCTTTTGCTGAGGATTGCTTTGGGTATTAGTGCTCTTTTTTTGCTTCCACGTGAAATCCTGTATTATCTTTTCTAGGTCTATGAAAAATGATGTTGGCAATTTGATAGGAATTTCACTGAATCTGTAGATTGCCTTGGATAAGATGAACGTCTTGACAATATTGATTCTTCCAATCCATGAGCATGAGGAGTTTTTCCATTTGTTTGTATCATCCTTGATTTCTTTGAGCAGTGTTTTTTTATTGTAATGGTCCTTCATCTCTTTGGTTAGGTAGATGCCACGGTATTTCACTTTCATGTGTATGGGTCTGTGTGTGTGTGTGTGTGTGTGTGTGTGTGTGTGTGTGTGTGTGTGTAGCTATTGTGAATGGGAGTTTGTTTTTTATTTAGTTCTCAACCTGCTTGTTTTTAGTGTATAAAAATGCAATTGTCTTTTGTTCACTAATTTTATATCCTGAAACTTTACCAAAGTTGTTTATTTGTGTGAGGAGGTTTTTGACAGTTTCTCTAGGATTTTCTTTCTTTTTTTTTCCCCCTTCTAGGGTTTTCAAGGTATAGAATGATATTGTCTGCAAAGAGTAATAACTTAATTTCCTCTTTTCCTATTTAAATACCTTTGATTTCCTTCTCCTGCCTAGGACTTCCAGTATTATTTGAATAGTAAGGGCAAGAGACAGTAGCATGTCTTGTTCCAGATCTTAGGGGGAATCCTTCCAGCTTCTGCCCATTAAGCATGATGTTGGCT